TCCACATAGATCGAATTCAGAACAGCTTCCACGAAACTAGGGTCATCTTCCCGGTATTGCTCGATGTGGTGTTTGACTGTGGCGTTTAGTAGAAAAGGCCTGGAGGATACGCCAAACACTACTCTGGTGAATCGAAGTGGGATAATCTTAGGGTTTGGGCTGTGTATATCATCGAACCACAGAAATCTCAATGCATCCCTATCAGACTCTGCTACATGAATCATGAGAAAGGCCTTCTCGATATCTCCCGTTAAGGCTACCTTGTATGCACGGAACCTTAGGGTGATGTCAACAATGTTCTGAGTCAGCGAGGGACCACTATACAGACAGTCATTAAGCGAAGGTCCTCTTGACTTCGCCGAGGCGTCGTACACTACTCGCAATTTGGTTGTTGCCTTCTCTCGACGGATAACTGCGTGATGAGGTAAATAGTGCACTCTCTTGGCTCCTTCATTTGGTTTGGGCACAGACTCCACGATTCCTTTGTTAAGCTGATCTCTTATCACATTGTCATATTCCTTAAGGACTTCTTGCTCATTACGCAGTCGCTTCAGCAACTCTAATAGACGTTTCTTGCTAAGATCATAGTTATCAGGCAGTTCAGCAAGATCAGGTTTCCATGGCAAATTGAACACACAATGATTATTTTCATACTTAATGCTTTCTAGTAATTCTTTGTACACACACTGTGGTTGAATACCGAGAGTTTCTAAGTCCCAAAATCTCTTCAGTTCTTGTACAACGACATCATTCTTACACTCAACTTCTTCGGAGGCACATTTGAGGGTGTGGATTGTAGCAAGATTGCTGGTGTGGGTTAATTGCCGCGGTTCGTTTCCAACAGGCCCAGAGAGAACCCAACCAAGCCTCGTTTGAATGGTAGTCGGACCACTTTCTCCTTGTCTGGTTTTCCCGGTCACGATCTTCCAGTAATGATCTGAACCGATCAGAATATCCACTTTCGCATCGTGTTGCCCAAATGAGTAATCAGCTAGGTGGAGGTTGGCGAGATGAGGGTAGGTCTTGCTAGCACTTGACACGAATTGGTTCTTTAATGGCTGACAAATTAATGGCACAGTAAATGCTAACATTTCAATGTTTGCTCCATAGGCAGTTTCTATTCCAAGATTCACCACATCAATAACTTGAGCATTAGTCTCGCTAGAGCCAAATATTTTTATGTTTACCGACCTTTGACTCTTTGACTGCAGACCGAGAGTTCCCGTCAGTGCACTGCTGACATACGAGCACTGACTGCCGCCATCCAGGATTAGTCTCGCTTTGACCTTGGGACTATCAGGATTATCTGGGTTATATACATGTATATTTGCTCTTGCGGTTTGGAGAAGGACACAGTTCGATGAGGTTGTGTGACAGACAGTTGCGTCAGGATGGGTTCCCAAACTAGTACTTTCCTTTGACTTGTTGGATCCGCTTTGCCCATGTTCCTCAGGAGGGTCCCTAGGAGGCGGTGGAGATGGCTTCTTACCCTTACAAATTCCATTTGTTTTCCTTAACCACTCTGCTAGCAACCAGCTGTAGATTTGTTGGTAGCTTGGACATTAATATTGAAGAAAGAAGGCTACCATAAGATTCAGGGGCTACTCCCATAGATTTCAAGCTTCTAATATGTGAATGCACCGTATCATGAAGTTGGCGCAAACCCTTCAGGTTGTTTTCAGAATTAACTGATGGAAGATTTAACAGAATATCCATATGTCGATTTATAATTAAATTGCTGCTTGTTCCCAAACCTTGATTTCAAAATAACAAATGCCTCTTCATAATTAGCATTAGTTAAAGACAATCCAGCAATGGATTCAGCAGCAGCTCCGTCCATGAAAGACTTGAGGTAATTGAATTTATCTATCGCTGCTAAGGAGGGATTGTTGTGGATAGAGGCTTAAAATTTATCCCAGAATGGGTTCCATTGACTAGGATCCCCAGAAAACCTTTTAAGGATTAATTTTGGCAATTTACTTGTGCTACACGATTGATTGGTTGGACAGCTGGATGCCCCCCAGGGTTATCGGGTGATGCAGGTGGTATGGTAGGATGCTCTACTGGTTGGGGTTGATTCACAGTTGACATAGAAGGCTGACCCAAATTTGGCATTCCATTTTCATTTGATGTATCAAGCTGACTTGAATATTGATTCTGTAGTAACGACGTGCTTGCAGTGCTAGCACTAGAGCCTTGGGGTGATGTGGGGGCTTGACTGGGTACTGGTGGGGTGTTACTTGTTGTATTTTCAGTCACATTCGATAACACAGCTAAACTAGGCATGCTGGAGGTATTAAGTGCTCTTTCTACATTTTCTAAAGCCAACTGCAAGCCTTCTCTACAAATATCGCACTGTTCTATTTCTTCTTCAATATTAGCTTCATCAACTAGTTCAAGAATTTCCTCATCAAGGACCTTTAAAGTTTCAAGTTTTTCTTTCATGCTAGTTTTAAGTTGATTCAGTTTGGGCACAATTTCTTCCAGATTATTTGGGTCAAAAGAAATAAGTACTTCACTCACCGTCTTTTGAAGTCGTGTGGCGGACGCTCGATGAGCCCCTCTTAACTTTTTCTTCCTCGATAAATCCGTGCTCATATTTATACTAACAACGTTTAAATACAGAGACAATATTCGTCCAAAATCCACAAATAACCAGAAAATTTATATAAGAATGACTCCAATAACCTTGAATCTTTTAACAACAGAAGTTCTCCAGGCTCGTATCTCCAAGATTATAAAAGCAAATTCCCCACTAACTAGTGTAGATCTCACGTTACTGCTCAAATTTTGTTGAAATTCCAGACTCCAACTCGAAATGTTCTGAATAAACCACAGGCTCAAATCCAATATTCTCCGTGATAATATATTTAGAATTGCTGGTAATCCGGCTCTCAAAGGACCATGTTATAAAAACTTCGATGGACTGTATTATCGTAATATTTAATATAAACTCAGGACAAATTTCAACATATTACACAAGACATATTACATCTCAACGTACAGAAAACGTTTCTTTACGCGCCATTTTGCATATATCATTGATTATGCCACAGCGAACCCTAACGATAATTTCAACAAAACACAAGCATACGTCACACAAGCGTGGTAGACAATATTGGCAATATTGTTGTGGTTTGCGATATAAATTGCCTCGCGAATCGAAGAGTTTCAGATATGTCATATGTCGAATAGATTTGTGCGTTGTTTGTACTTCAACTTTGGCCACGAGGCACAAAGGGAGACATAAAGAACACGAGTGACGAGTGTTAACACAATTTAACTACGTACAGTGTTGACAAAATTAAAAAATACAGGCTAACGTAACGAACCAAGCCATTTGTCGATCAGAACAGTATGACATAGTTAATTATGATCAGAACTAGCTTTGTAATAACGGCAACCGCTATTAGATACACGAGAAAGTCTCGAATTTCGATTTGTATTATGAACTGTGGTCACTGAATTTTACGAGTGTATGAGAACCGCTCCATTTGATAATATTTACTGTAAATAGAACAAAATACATTGTAAACACAACGCTCGCTCCGACCTACTACGAATGGCGGCTATTTTTAGATATTTCGTAATTTTTCTAGTGCGTTGCGTGCGTTGCGTACGGTGCACCTGTGGAAGTGCACACTTGTGTCACAGAATAAAGATCAGTGCCTTATTCTGTGCTTGTGTCGCCAAAGAAAAAAGATCTGACATTTTAATACTCCGGTACTTACAGTACCCGGAGTAATAAATTTACTGCAGTAATAAATTTATGTGGTGTTTCTACAAACAATAGTATTATATGTTTTATCGTTCTGCCTTTTTACCTGCAAAGAACTGTCAGAACTCACTGACACATTCCAACAATCTGCATTTACAATCTAAATCATTCTGACCATTTTTAACATTAGTTTGAATAGCTTTGACTGAATAAGTGCCTTAAATGTTAGCCAGCTTCGCAGAAGAAATGTTGGCTATTATAGCGAAGCTCGGAACCAATGTCTGAAGTCCCTTCACGGCTTCCGTAAATATAAAACTTTAAACTCACTGTGCCTACAGAAACACATGCACATTGTAATAAACTTGATATATTACACTGTAAAACATCAAGCCGTTTTAACTTTTTTAGTATGCCCAGTGGCGGTCTGTTTTCGAAACTAACGAAAGAATACAATATAAATGGAGTTCAACGTTTATCGGTTTATGCAGGGCGGTTTATGTTTACAATATTGAAGTTTATTTCCGGTCTGCGCTGATTGGTTGATATTAATTGACCAGTGACATCCTAATTGAAGGGCGGCACGCAATCATCATAGGGATCCTTGCAGGCTCTCTTTCACCCAGAGAGCCTGCTCGCAGGCTAGGCCAATTTCATAATTATAACAATTTCAGTGTTAGTATGCAGTAAATATAATTTATGAAGTAGTGAAGGTAATTTACGAAGTTTCTGACAATGTAATCTAAACATGAAATCTAAACATTTCAAAAAAGGCCATAATCTCATTACAAATTAAGGATTGTTTTTGGTTAGTCCCATACACAGTGGGGGGGGGGCTGCCCCGCCCCTTACACCCAAGAAAAATCAACTTACAATTTATGAAGTTTCCGACAATGTAATCTAAACATGAAATCTAAACATTTCAAAAAAGGCCATTCTCATTATAAATTAAGGATTGTTTTTGGTTAGTCCCATACACAGTGGGGAGGGGGGGGGGCTGCCCCGCCCCTTACACCCAAGAAAAAATCAACTTACAATTTATGAAGTTTCCGGCAATGTAATCTAAACATAAAATCTAAACATTTCAAAAAAGGCCATTCTCATTTAACGATTGTTTTGATTAGTCCCATCACATTAACTGTGGTCCCACGTTTCTTTACGCGCCATTTTGCATATATCATTGATTATGCCACAGCGAACCCTAACGATAATTTCAACAAAACACAAGCATACGTCACACAAGCGTGGTAGACAATATTGGCAATATTGTTGTGGTTTGCGATATAAATTGCCTCGCGAATCGAAGAGTTTCAGATATGTCATATGTCGAATAGATTTGTGCGTTGTTTGTACTTCAACTTTGGCCACGAGGCACAAAGGGAGACATAAAGAACACGAGTGACGAGTGTTAACACAATTTAACTACGTACAGTGTTGACAAAATTAAAAAATACAGGCTAACGTAACGAACCAAGCCATTTGTCGATCAGAACAGTATGACATAGTTAATTATGATCAGAACTAGCTTTGTAATAACGGCAACCGCTATTAGATACACGAGAAAGTCTCGAATTTCGATTTGTATTATGAACTGTGGTCACTGAATTTTACGAGTGTATGAGAACCGCTCCATTTGATAATATTTACTGTAAATAGAACAAAATACATTGTAAACACAACGCTCGCTCCGACCTACTACGAATGGCGGCTATTTTTAGATATTTCGTAATTTTTCTAGTGCGTTGCGTGCGTTGCGTACGGTGCACCTGTGGAAGTGCACACTTGTGTCACAGAATAAAGATCAGTGCCTTATTCTGTGCTTGTGTCGCCAAAGAAAAAAGATCTGACATTTTAATACTCCGGTACTTACAGTACCCGGAGTAATAAATTTACTGCAGTAATAAATTTATGTGGTGTTTCTACAAACAATAGTATTATATGTTTTATCGTTCTGCCTTTTTACCTGCAAAGAACTGTCAGAACTCACTGACACATTCCAACAATCTGCATTTACAATCTAAATCATTCTGACCATTTTTAACATTAGTTTGAATAGCTTTGACTGAATAAGTGCCTTAAATATTAGCCAGCTTCGCAGAAGAAATGTTGGCTATTATAGCGAAGCTCGGAACCAATGTCTGAAGTCCCTTCACGGCTTCCGTAAATATAAAACTTTAAACTCACTGTGCCTACAGAAACACATGCACATTGTAATAAACTTGATATATTACACTGTAAAACATCAAGCCGTTTTAACTTTTTTAGTATGCCCAGTGGCGGTCTGTTTTCGAAACTAACGAAAGAATACAATATAAATGGAGTTCAACGTTTATCGGTTTATGCAGGGCGGTTTATGTTTACAATATTGAAGTTTATTTCCGGTCTGCGCTGATTGGTTGATATTAATTGACCAGTGACATCCTAATTGAAGGGCGGCACGCAATCATCATAGGGATCCTTGCAGGCTCTCTTTCACCCAGAGAGCCTGCTCGCAGGCTAGGCCAATTTCATAATTATAACAATTTCAGTGTTAGTATGCAGTAAATATAATTTATGAAGTAGTGAAGGTAATTTACGAAGTTTCTGACAATGTAATCTAAACATGAAATCTAAACATTTCAAAAAAGGCCATAATCTCATTACAAATTAAGGATTGTTTTTGGTTAGTCCCATACACAGTGGGGGGGGGGCTGCCCCGCCCCTTACACCCAAGAAAAATCAACTTACAATTTATGAAGTTTCCGACAATGTAATCTAAACATGAAATCTAAACATTTCAAAAAAGGCCATTCTCATTATAAATTAAGGATTGTTTTTGGTTAGTCCCATACACAGTGGGGAGGGGGGGGGGCTGCCCCGCCCCTTACACCCAAGAAAAAATCAACTTACAATTTATGAAGTTTCCGGCAATGTAATCTAAACATAAAATCTAAACATTTCAAAAAAGGCCATTCTCATTTAACGATTGTTTTGATTAGTCCCATCACATTAACTGTGGTCCCATACTGCCATACACATAGTGGGGTGGGTGGGGGGGGGGGGTGATAAATTACTAGGTCTTCTTTTTCATGAGCATCTCAAATGTGATGAACACGTTCATGCCTAGTATAAGAGCTGTTATGGCACTATTAGAACACTTAAAAAGCTTAAGAACTTCGCCGACTAAAGCCAAATCATTAATTTTCTCTAAAGTAGACTATGGTGACACTGTATTTTATCCATTGCCAGACTTTTTACTTAGTCGACTTCAACAGATTCAATTCGCTGCCGCTAGCTTTGTTGTGGGATAATATGTCAATAACATTATCATACATCGCCCAGAAATAAACGACGATCACATGCAATCAAAGTAGGCAAAATTTATTACAAATTTTACTGTATAGTGTATTCTATAATTAGGGACGGACCATTATTTTTTTGGAGGGGGGGGATGGAAAATTCTTAAAAAAATTGTTTGCAAAGACAAAAAAGTGCAAATAAATTGTTTGCACACATAAAGAAGAGGAAAAAAATAGTTTGCAAGCTAATGAGATTATGCAACATCAACTAATTATAAGGTTTAATTTAACAATGAACAGAGCGCTCACCAACATACCCAGGGTCTTCACCCCAAAAGTTCTGGGATGGGAGACGCTGGGAACATGTCACAATCTACATATGGGTTACAAATATTAATCTATTGAATACAGTCATTTTTTTTTTTTTTTTTAATTTTTTTTTTATAAAATAGGTATTTGGTGTAGGATAAATAATGGGAGGATCAGTATCAA